AATAAGAATAGTACCTAGGTACAGGCGAACGTGACCTGCGGGATATTATAGGCGAATCGCGATCTACCACGTTTCGGACGATAAACTTCCCATCCTTCTCCTCCTAATAGAAATTCTTCGTGGTTTTTCGGAGCACGATCATTTTAATTTCGCACGAAATAAATTATATATTACCAATATTTATATACGTACGTAAATTTTATCAGACTAACGTTTTTCAGGGGTCAACAAATCCGACATATTATGAGAGTATTTTTTTTTTTATTTTTTTTCCCCCTCGGTAATAAAAATATTGTATACGAACGTTCGCTATCGTATTACCAGTATATAATGTACCGATACATATATTAATATGGCGCACATTCGCATACGGGTTGAGACCCCCGGAGGTGGGTGGGGGGAGGCGATGGAGGGGGAGGCTCGAGAAATCCGCGAGTCTATTCGAATTTCGGATACGTCGTTTTCGGGGGCATACTAATATTCTCTTATGTACCATCATATATTATTAAATACGAATCCCCGCAAGGGTTCGAGAATAACTGTATGTCATGTTTAATGTATATGTATACACGTAAGTATAAAATATAATGCTCGCGACGGCTATACGGTGCAGTACCCCACCCCACCCCACCCCCGAATATCCGAAATCCGATCGACAATTCTTTACCGGTGCGGTTTTTATTTCCTTATCGGACCGACTCGACGTTACGCAAAAACACAATAATATGTCTACCCGTGTACAGTTGCCGATGTTTTTAGACAATATTGTTAGACTCGCGATTTCGACGGCGGAATCAACTCGGCGTGTAATTGTCACGTATATTTGCGAAAAACGGTGCCCGACCACGACGACGCCCGAACGATAAATCCGTTTGCCGCGCGGGGGGAACCGGGGCGACCGGAGGCTCGACAAACGATTTATTTGCCTCGCGGAGACCTCCCACCGTGCGGTGCGCGTCGAAAAACGAAAATCCCGTACCGGAAAAATTCACTAAACCGAGAGGGTGCCGAGTTTTTTTTTTTTTTTTTTGGCCCTTTTATACTTCCAACCTCGGATTGTTGTTTTCCCGTTGTATCGTACTGCACAGTACATACGCGCACAATGAAATTTATTATTGTTTCGCGGCGTTCTACCCGAGCTCATAGGCGGAAAAAAACAAAACTCGTTTAGATCATATGTACTACGTATATACATGTATGTTACGGACGAAAGCCGAAATCGGTCAAGCCTCAGAAATACCCGGGAAAAAACGCTAAGTGCCCGTGATGCTCGGACAATACCGTAGCGTCTATGCACCGTGTTGTTGTTGTTTTTTTTTTTTTTTTTAATATTACACGTATATTCGAACGAATAAATAAATATTACCGAATAATATACGATGGATTTTAAGAATTCGAAAATTTGTGCATTTAATTGCAAAAATGTATTCGTTTATTTGTTGTCAATAATATTACGCATTAAATCGCAATGTTCGCTGTCCTCGGTGATCATTTGGAATCTGCCCTCTGTGAAAAGAACGAAATTCACGGACGTTACGGTTTTGACCGAATGGGGTTGGTCACTAACTACCTAATACTTATAGGTCTGTTCGGGCAAAAGCCGTAATATGACGTTTTGCTCGAGTAACGTGGGCTCTTTGCGTTTTTGCCCGGACATTTATGATATTCACTCGACTTCGACTCTTTCCCGTGACAATATAGAATATAGAAGGACCAAACGAGTTTACGTTTTTTTTTCCGCCTGCGAGTTAATCTTTCTCTCGACAAGGGCGTCAATTAATTTGCGCCCGTTCCTCTCGACCACTCGCTGCAGTTTATAACAACGTCCGCGGGGTTTTTTTTTTATACATGTATATATTTTTCTTATTCTTCTTCTTTAATTTAGTACCTATTTCTACAGCTATGTTTGGTTTCAACGCGCCGCTCTTAAACATTTACTTTACAGCGGTGGCCGCAATTATATTACGGCCACCGCTATCGTATTTATACGAAAAACGAATTACTTATGAATTATTATTATCGATTTCGTTTTGGATTCCGAGCAACGGTTAGAAATCACTACTTTCGGTGTAGTGCGCTACCTTTATTGCTGCATTTCTAAAAAAAAAAAAGAAAACAAAAGGAGTTATTATAAGTGTAGAGCGTTTTTTACTTTTTTTTGAAGTAGTGCGTTCTCCAATTTAAAAAAAGAAACGTTTCGAGATTTGGTATTTCTCGTTTACGAATAGATACCAACAATTTATTTAAATTTGACTTTTCCGACAAGAAAAAAAAATTATACACATACATTACCTAACTTGTTTGTCATTTCCATATTTTATTGTATACTTAGGTACAAATTTGAAATTTCATCGAATTCCCAATTTTATTTCTAATAAAAAGTAGCGCATAAATTGTTGTAGTTGTAGAAATAAAAATGTCGTTGTTTTCTTGTGAAAATTTTAGTTTTACCACGCTTTACGTGATAAAAAAAAAAGCCACACGCTATTAACAAAAAAGGTAGTGCGCTACAATGGCGTCGCTACAAATAGCGCGGCACTTCCGACCACTGATTCTGGGTATAGCGACGAAGCCATTAGTTTTGCTCCATGGATGAGCTTTTTGTTTTTATGTTTTAGAAAACAATTTTTCGGGTTAGTAGAAACGCTCCGATTATTTCTTTCCATATCTCATAAATATGTTCGCGGAATAATTTCCGTTCGGATGCACTTTATTTGAACGTTTTGTACTTTTTCAACAGTTCGTCCGCTGTAGGTTCTTTTTTTTTTCTGCAAAACTACAATAGGTTATAACCTACTTATAAGTGAAAAACACGTCACGTTTAATACGGAGTAGTTTAAGATCCGTTGAAACAATCCGTGCAGTAGGTGCCTGGTACATAAACTAAACTACCCTATCTAATACCTCGTGTATACGTGCCCGATTTCTCACCAATTGCAGTGATCTGCCCGCGACGTGAAGTACGTCCAGATATTTTTTTTGATATTACTTGAAAATAGTTTTTCTAAACGAGTACGCTATAACAGAGTATTTCACAAACGATTTTTTTTTTTCTTACACCTTTCGTCATAAAATATATATTTCAAAATAACCGTCAATTATTTCGTCGGCATGTATCTATATATATATATTGTATAATATTATTTTATAGAAACGCGCATAAAACACAATTTGAAAGCGAGTTATCCGACCGTAAAATATTACAACTACATAAATATTTTACGTTCAATCTATTACAGGACAATATTTTAGTAAAAGTCCATAATAAAAAAAAAAAATAATAATAAAAAAAATATTTATATATATAGTAAAATGTACGAGATAATATCGACGAAACCGATCGGTCCGGGACGCTCACGACGTAATAATATTATTTTAGAATATTAAAATTAAAAAAGAAAAAAAAAACGAAGAATGAACCCGACAATAATGATGATAATATAACCTTTAATCCGTCCGTCCGTCTCGTTATATTCGATACGAGCGCCGACAAAAACTCACCCTCCCGGGGAGAAAATTAGCGTTGAAACTATATACATTCGAAAACAATAAAAAAAAAAAAAAAAAACCGCTTTCGGAGCACACTGCGCTATATATCCTATTTTATTTATCTGTATCGTTACCGTTAGTTTATAGAAAAGCAGCTAATGCGCGCGCTCGCAAATATCGTATGAAACCTTTAAATGTGTCGCCGTCGTCGTCGTCGCGTAATCCGTACTCGACCGCGGGCTCAAAGGATTTAACCGCGGAAAATATTTTTTATTATTTTCAATACTCCGTTTCGTAAGTACGTTAAACGCGCGTAAATCTGTTTTTATACAGCGCGTTGCTGTACCATGTGCAGTCGGGAATTTCGTGTTTACCATCACGTGATAATAACAGTAATAATTTAGGCGAATTGGATACGTCTTTATCCGTTTTCGTTTCGAAGCCTCTCGTAGTAGTTACGTATTTAAGAGTATTTAAGTCGCGCAGATTGCAGCAAGCGTACCCGCCACGTAATTATCTAAATATTGAATTAATTAGTCCCGTCTGCAAAAATTTCTTCGATCCGGTCTGATCCGCACGCTAATTTTCCGAAAAATCCTTTGAGAGAGTTTGTTGTTTCCCGTATTAATTTCCAGTAAACAGAGTCAGCCGTGTTGATGAAGCCTGACGCGAGATTTTAATTTTATCTATATACCTTGATAATCAATCGTCGTCGCCGGAAAATTTGTCGTCTCAATTATTTTCAAAGAGGATAAAAAGCCAATCTATAATGTAATACTACGGTATACGATGTGAACTATAACGGGTTTTGTTTTTTCCACGGCTTTTTTACGTCGGTTATTAATAGTTATTTAATGAAAAGGCATAAAACGGTATTGTTTTAGCATTGTACTGCAGTTACTATAGTGCCTATAAAGCGTATAGTTAGACGATTATTTGAACCGTATCATTTGCTCGTTGTATTTTATTTTCTACCCGCCGCGAACCGTTAATATTTATACAAATATATATATATATAGGTAGGTATTTTTGAACAATTTTTTTTTTCAACATGAAAAATTCGAATACTCATTGCGATAGGTCGTGTTCGCTGTGTACGGGGGCAGCTCGTATACACTTCTTACGTATTTTTTATTTTTTATTATAATTATTATTATTATTGTTGCTGTTGTTGAAACGGAGTACTTCTTGTAAGTGGAAAGCAAATGAATTACCGTTATCCAATTAGTCGGTGGCGCATAATATGGTTGGCGAAAATGCGCAGAGTTTTACTTTTGAAACTAAAATAAAATACGCGTAACTAGAATTTGCTGCTCTCGTATATCGTTATTATAATATACCGACCTATGAGCGAAACAAACAAAAAAAAAAAAAAAACATTATATCACCATAACGTAATAATATCTGTTCAATTGTAAATATCATCGCGGAGAACAAGAGATAAAATATACGAGTACTCGTATTTTATGTTTGACATTCGCATAAACTGCCGTGGGTGTAGGACGAGGAGCAGGAAGAGGGACGCGGGCGGTAAAAAAACCGAAATATCGCTACCGATGCACATTATCCGGATAATAGTCCTCGCTCCGCCAACGATTATATAATAATTATTTTACGACGTCCCCGAGGACGACGATGACGACGACGAGTTTTTTCGCCGCGTTTACGTGCGATTTATAGCGATATAATGGACGCGGTCGTTTGCCCACAGCGATTTAGTTACAATTGTCAGACACTGGAGCGCGCCGCGTAGCGGCGGTGGCGACAGTAAACTGCGAACGGTTCGCGGCATAATTTCGTTTCTTACGATATATTTTCATAGCCCGTGTTGTTTACGACAATCGGCTAAATAAAACTGCGGTTCGCAACGTTACAGTGCTTGCGACGACGGCGGTCGGAACACTCCGCGGAGACCATAAACGTCGTTGACGATCGCTCCGTAAACGCGCAATATATTATTTTTGACTAATCGCGTCCGCCGTAATACGGCAATAACAATGTAATCCCTTACGAAGGGATACCGGTACGCCAGATTTATACGTTTATATTCACGCGTTCAAACACACAGATATATAATGTATGTTACGACCTAAGTTGAAAATTGGCTAATATCCTCTGTTCGTACGGTAATACCGAATTCGTGCTGTTAGTTTTCGATATTAGAGTGAATTAATCGATTATTAAACTTAAATATTAGACAAATTTCTGTGTTTGTGTGTCGGTTTTTTCCGATATTTTAAATTTTCAAGCGAGATACAAAGTTATTTAAATTGTAATACTTCACACGCTCGTATCTACTAATGGCCGATTCACTGATGTAAAAACGAAAAAGGACTCATTTGGGTGTTTATTATAATGCGAATAAAGTAAACGTCCATTGATATTTTCGAACAGTTAGTTATGCGTTTGGACTGGAGGTCTTGATTGAAAACGTGAAATAATTATTACGTGAAAACGGAATCCGTGTACAAGAGAATGAAAAATTCATACTCGCATATTGTACTAATTACACGGAAATTTATACTGTCCGTGTTTTAGTGTTATTCGCGTGAACACGTAGAGAGAAAATGTGAAAATTAACGTGAAATTGAATATTGTGTACGTACACACTACACGTGGACACGGTTTTTTTTAAGTGGGTACACGGTTTTATAGATTTAAATGTTAATTTCACGTGAATGCGTGAAAGAGCGTACTTACACGTGAAATAGGAATCGCTAGTTTAGACTGCGTAGACGTTATACCATTAATATTACGATGATATTTATAGTACGTGTAACGTCACAAAAGACCGTGAATTAATATTTCGGAGACCGTAAACTAAAAAAATTATTATTATTACTATTTTTTTTTTTTTTTTTTTAATACCGTCAAGTATAAATATGTAATAGTAATTTCTGTACGCACATATATAAATATTAACATTTTCGATTTTAGTTTTTTTAAAACAAAGACCGTCATGTATAACACAATATAATACGTGCTCAGTAAGTTATGATAATTAAAAACATCACTCATAATTATTCCGTTCCTGTGATTATTATGTATAAAAAAAAAAAAAAAAATGCAATTAAACTTATAACGAATTATAGCATAAGACATTCGGTTAAAATCTACCGAAAACAAAGTTTTTACTTCATTATATAATAACAGAGAGAACTACCCCCTCCAAAAAAAAAAACAATCCATTCAATTCCGTATAGTTACGTGAAATAATAATATTATGTTTCAATTTGAACAAATTTCGAAACGAAATCAAATATAGAAATAATTTTTAACTACGCGCGTTTCGTATTCAATTAAATAAACATGGCCGGACGGCATATTTACAGACCTTATTCGAGTACGACCCAAGCGGTATGTAAATACGTGACCCGTGACAGGTTATCATCAGCTATATCATCAGGACCTAAGTCTAGGTTCGCCAACACTTAGGACTCTAACTTACTCGAAGTTTTATCGGATTCGGACCAAAGCTGGGCACAAGACATTCAATTTGTTTAATTAGTTTTAAATTAAGTTATAAAAAACAAAACAGCTCATGTATTGTTAATTTTAAAATATAAATGAATTCGAGTAACTAAGTTATAAATATTAAGGAAAATGTAATCAAGTTAAAAGTCGCATTTTTTCGAAATTCCCCTTTAACTACAGGTACGCTCATAAATGTATTTTATATTTTAATATTTTGACTTACTTTAAATACAAAGGCTCTCTGGTGGGTATCTGCATGGGTCACATGCCCGTCTTATTATATTGTGATATAAATAAGTAATCTAATGAATTAAAACTCATAGGTACACTGTTCTTTCTAAGAAAAAAAATACATAAGCAATTTAAATGTTTACAAAATAACCAAGTCAAGTTAAAATAAATGTTAAAAAAATTATTTAAAAAAATGACTATTTTATAAACTTCTGGTTTGTTATATATATAAGCTAAAAGTTAAAATACCAAACAAAGTAACTTTTGACTTTTTTGACTATATTTTCTACCCAGCTTTGGTTTAGACCAATAACGAGAGTATATATATTGCAAAACTCTTAAAACCAATTGTACCGTTGTACGTTTCGGCTCGGGACCGAACTCGAGCAGAGTCTGTAAATACGCGGTCGGACGGGCGGGAGAATCTCGACGAGCCGGTTGTAAGTCTGCGTTGTCATAAATTGCTTCGCGTTTTTGGCGACCCGTAAATAACAACATTGTTTTCCTCGCTAAGCGTTTTCAGTTCCGAAATAATATTTCGGGTCTGCTGACTATAAACAATATTACGCTCGTATAATCGAAATGATAAGCATCAACATCGAAAATAGTACATAAATAATATCGTTCACACGGTTATAATATTATGTTATCAACGCGTTCGGTTGCGTATTTATGATTTATCGCGGTGAGAAAGAGAAGAGATGGGTGGAATATGCGAATCTAAGAGAAAATTAAATGATAAATATTGTATTATACGTGTATATATATATTCCGAAAATTCGTAAGTCGTTTTTTTTTTTTTCGGCACCCTGTACTACAAAAACTACGTAAACCGAAACCGCAAGTACTTACACCAGTTTAAATCGGTATTTCTTTTTTTACCCTGGAACATATAAAATAATACATTTACTTATTTATAATCTGGCGTACGGAAAACAATATTATTCCCGTTTTTTATTTATTTTTTGTATCGAATTTCGAAAAGAGAAATGGTTGAAAAAAAAAAAAGAGGATCCCAATATCATGATTATTTTATTTCCGCGATATTAACGTTGTAAATCGAAGACCACTAGCAGAACAATTTCGCAGCCTTTTCGTGCCCTCGCACCTTATATTTTTAACGTTTTCCGGATTATTCTGATGCGTTCATGGCGAATCCGATATGATATGTCCGACACGGTCAAGTCTATTCACTATAGAGTAATACAGGTGTGTCGTATACGTATAGCAACATGTATTATGTTTTGTCGTTATTCTTTTTCTTTATAGACTACCCCAAATTAATTCTAAATTTATGTATTTTCTGTAGCATTTTAATGAAAATCTCGGAAGATTATCTATATATATATATATATATATATATATGTATTATAAAAATAAAAATACCTTTCTGCTACGCACTGAATCTAAATATTCTATCGGTCATTAAATATGACGACCACTCTGTATGTAAGATAATTTTTAGGTTTTTGTTAAATTCTATTTATTTTTTTTTTTATAATTACAATTAGATATATTATTATTATTTTTACAGTGCGATAAACTCAACAAAGTAAACAGGATATTTTTAATTTGTTGCCAATACCTACCATAACAATCACGTTAATTAATTCAATTTTCGCTTTGTTTTTATTATTTCTTATTATTATTATTGTTATTTTTTTTTTTTTTTTTTTTTTTTTTGATATTCTGAACGGGAAAAAAAGATACATTTAATTAAATAAATACAACTCCGTCGGTGGTTCGGGAAACAAAAAATTCAAACAATCCTCGGTAAATGATGATATTATAATAACACGATCTCGAAAAATGGCGGACCAATACCGTTATTTTCATATATTGCAGTGCAAAGGATATTATAATAATATTCCTTTAAACAATATTTAATGCGCATTTTATTCTACCCATATACTCGTAGTATTTCGTGATTTATATTGCACGCCCGACCGATTCGCGTGTATTGTAAATTATTGCGAAATTTGCTCGGAAGTTATTACTATCTATTGAACGGAATAAAAAAAAAAAAACCCGAAAGAAACCCACGTTCGAATAAAAATGTCCAATTACGCGCTTTTACAGCGGAGGGAAACCTCAAGAACATAATAATAATAATAATAATATACCTAATAGCTGGTAATATTACGAATATTGGATCACCACCGGGAAAAACTGATCGGCACTGCCCGTATGAATACGCGGACGAAACGGGTACGGACGGCCGGGCGAAAAATACCGCCATAAAAAGAATCTACGGACGGATTTTTGGGTCGGATGAATTGTTTTTTATTTTTATTTTCATTCTTACGTACGCTTTTAACATATTGCAGTGTAGTACTTCGTCAAACTATATGCGATGCTCCAATGTGGTGCGATCGACACAATATACCCGCGGAACGTGTGAACTACTCGCACGCGCATTATACGAATCGCTCCGAAAACGAATTGCGTTTCATTATACAGAGTGAAACGGAATATCATTTTTAGTCGATAAAAACAGATTTGTGAAACACCGTAAAACGTAAAATTCTATATAGAAACGTTAAAACCGTCTTGTAATGGAAAAAATGTTCTAACCGTAAAATAATATTGATTCAAATATCGACGTCGGAAGTTTTTCATATCTTTTTGACGTTTGAAGCTATAACGGTGTCATATTATTCTCGGTTTAATTTACTGGAAAATAATCGTATAGAGCCCTGAATTGTCTTCGGAATACTTATTATATTAGCGATTTGTATACGCGGTGAAATTTTCGCGCTATTCACGCGATTCGTTTGACCTCCGATCAATGCTGCACCGGTTCTACATTGGAATTTCTCTACAACAGAGTTCCTCTACAAAGTTTTAGGATTCGTACGAGGTTTTGAAAGACGGACGAAAATCCGCGGGACGGGGAATGGATGCGACAACAGTCACGTTAAACCCATCTCCATCATCACCTCCGCCCCGAATCCGATACTGCGATTTACTGCGGCCGACTGGTAATCAGTTCGGAAACACCCTGTACACAGACCGAGCGTTATAGTATATACATTATGTATATGTGAACGGCGGCACTCGCGCATCACCGCACGCTTCCGGGCGCGGCACACGTCGTATCCGGTGTTTCTGATAAATAATTAACGGCCGGACGAGCGGCCCCGGGAGAGAGGAGATATTCGGATTACAAACGAGCTTTCGCACCCAAAAGTCCGGGGCCGTCCCCCCACCGCCAGTGACGAGGAGGTTCTTGTGTAATTATTCGTGTCTGGCCGGCTCGTCTTTCGGCGCGCGGGTACCTACGATCGGGGATATCCGGCCGCGTTGAAAAACCGCTTATTATTTATCACCGCGACCGGATTGAATAAACAGTTTTTCTTTTTTTTTTCCTACGCCGTCGCGTACGGTTTTATAGTTATAAAAGCCTTTTTTCAAAAAAAAAAAAAAAAAAAACTTCATTTTCAAGGAACTACTGCGGGTTACTCGTCATCGCTAGGTGTATATACCCAACCGAGAAAACAAATCTAAAACGAATTTGTTAATAAAATATATTATTTTTAAAACGAGTTTCTATAATCGCTTAAAACCGAATGCATTATATTATATTATATTATTTCACAAAACGTTTTTTAAACAATAGGCAACAAAAAAACCCCGAAAACGGAAATCATTCCATCGTGCAAAATGCAAATAATATTTAAAAAAAAAAAAGAACATTGTTACGCTATTGCTATCGTGGCCTCGACATAATATAATTTTTTGGCTCGACGGAAAAAAAAAATACAAAGAAAAATAATTCGCGATCAATAATAAGGGTTGTCTCGTAAAAAAAAAAAAAAAAACGAAAAAAGTTACTCGAAATACATGTAGCAGTTTGAGAACGAGCCAAAAAAAAAAAAAAAACAATTCGAATACCTACCGACCGATACATATATACCTAGCCGTATAATTAATCTGAGCGAATTCATCGACTGTGTTTTCGGCTATACATCTCGTCGGACCGCTTTTTTTCTAGCTTTTTTTTTTTATATCTATCGATATAATAAGGTGAAATTTCCGTATCGCCCGTTGATATATACACTCGAAAACGGTTTCGCGCGTGTCTACCAGTTACCGTTTTTTACATTAATTTTTTTTTTTTTTTTTCATTTCTGTTCAATTATAGGTACACGAGCGCTGTTATCGTTGTACACCGCAGAGTGGTAATAGACGTACGAAATAATATTATTCCTCGTTATATTATTAACTAATTGGTACTACGCGCGCAGTTCACAAGTAATAAAACCGTTTCCAATGGTTTCCGACCGCTTCGAAAAGCGCGCGTCCAGAAGTAATTCTCAGATAACATCATCAAAAGTATTAAAAAAAAAAAACTCGAAAATCATACCGCCGCGCTGCGTTGTTGTTAAACGAAAAGCGATATCAAATAAACGGAATAAAAATAAACCGCTTCGAAACGATGCCAGAAAATTGCAGTTCGCTTTACTACATTAATATTACAATATCAATCGATGACTTTACAGGAACTTTCTTGTAACGGTTTTTATCCGGTCGGTGTGGGACGTTTTTTTTTTATTTTCGGATTTCCCTTGTAGTTTTCTTAATCGACGAGAACAAATACTGGCCATGGTTTGTATTGTATAACTGTTGTTGATTTCTGGACCATTTTTTGGTTTGCTGTCTCGATAAACATGTTACTAGTATAATAGTAACTAATAGGTTACTACCTATTTGAAAAGGTTCTGGGGTTTGGTAGCGTTTTATAAATTGAACGCGAGGAAACTTTAATAGGTATCCATACATTAAAAGATTTCGATTTCAGTTTGATATATTCTAAAATTCAAAAAAAAGAAAACAGATCGATTACCGAAATATAGATAGTAAAAATAAAAAATTTACCATTCTAATATTTCGACTTCTCCCGATGAACACGAAACGATTATATACGGACAATTTCCGATGGTGATAAAAAAAAAAAAAAAAAAAAAACTGTCAAATAATAATATTCTAGAAAATCGGCTGCGATATCGCGGTTGACCGTTCAAAAAGAAAAAAAGTCTCGAGGGAATGACAGTGTTACAAAATAACCCGCTCGCATAATATTTCACAGACAGAACGGAAACCTAAAACCGAAAATAATATTTTTATCGTTATTCGATATTACGTACCCAAAGTGAAAGACGTTTAGAACAAAATACGCACGTATAATTTTTTGTAACATTTTGTTCTTATAGTAAGTGCCCGTTAGCAATGGAATCGAAAACGATAACTAAAAAATTTAGTATTACAATATTCTATTTGCCTCCGTGGTTTTTAATATTCTGAAAACTCTTTAGAAGAACGCCCTGTGCTACCTCTCGTATTCAAGGGGTCGCGTATCAACAACTTCCTCGGAATTTTCGGAAAAATTGCATTTTATCTACTCGAAAATATTCAAATTCACTTTCAAGTACATATTTTACAATAGTAGTACCTCGCCATCATGTCACAAATTTACGTTGTGAATTAAAATCAACAGAAATGTTTACGGAGAAACCTTTTCACGCGAGCAAAATCTACTCGGTCAATGGACTTGGTTAAGAAACGAAATTTTCAACACCGTTAAAAAAAAAGAAAAAAAAGTGAACTCGAATATTGTGCTACATGGGTTTTAGTTTTTCGATAACTTTTTGCAAATTATTCGGAATATTTTGAAACTAAACTATATATTGTTGTAAAGTATTCGAATCAAAGTTGAAAAAAAAACAGAACAAAACTAGTTTACTTTTTAATTTAAACCTTTTTTTTTTAGTAAACATTAAATTTTAATATAAGTTAATTATAAATAGAACATTGTATCATAATTTTTTAAGAACATATGAACAGTTAAACAAAAACGTTCCTTCGGTTCAACCAAAAGTACCTAATAGGAACTGTTTATTTTCGTTCATATTGAATGAATATGAATGAACTATTTATAAATCTCTTCATTTTTCTGAACGTATAGTATTTGTTATTTTATTTCAATTGAATTTTCGAATGTTCAAAACACTTCACAAACCCGACTCGAATACGTCATATTCTGAATATTTTCTTTTTGCGTACGTATTCTGAGTATCTATTTTTAAAAAGACGTTTTACCCGAGTTTGCGTGCACTCCGTACGGGGATCTCCGTGGACCGATCGACGCGAGTATAATGAGAATCGGCGAGGTAAACGGTGATTATGCTTCGCCTACCTTATAGACTATACATACAATTGTACCTCTTTATTTTCGGATGACCAAATCTATTCTCCTTCTACATAAACTTAAAAGCGCAGGGTCTCGATAACGGGTCGACGGAAATCGAAAACGCCAACACTGAATAGTGCGTATCTCAATGCTCCGTCTGTTTGTGGACTGTTCAATTCTACAATAGGTCGCTATTCGAAAATCGAAAACAGACAGTCCGTTTCAACCCTGAGAGTAAAGGTGACGAAAACAAGGACATAATATCGAGCAGTTCGGAATAGTTTTTACGCGAATGTAAGCGATTCGCCGGAAAAATCAGTGTGTCACGGTAAATTCGACTGTGACGCGAAATTCGAAACACCCCGTTCCCCCCCCTCCCCCGGTAGAAAATACGAGGGGTTATGGAATACGCCGTTATCATTATATACACGCGCGTATATTACGCCGGCGGCGGCGGCGAGCGGGTCCCGCGACTTCCGACGACGGCCCGGCGGCGTTTAGGGCGACGACCGGACGGCACTGCGCCGGGCGCACGAGCGAACGGGGGCGCGGGGATGAAAACGAAAATGTCTCTTGGACCGTGAACCGCGCGATAACCGCAGTCGCGGTAACTGGCCGGGCGGTCGGACAGGCGCGCGCGCGATCGGTCTTCTCCGGGGCAGAGAGTACGAACGCGATGAACGATGACGACAGTCCGCTAATTGACGTACAGGGTTTTTCGACCGCGCACACCTACGTGTACATAAAAATATATTATTATTATTATTTTATACCCGCGCGTACGCCGCGGACGTGCCGTGCGAAGAAACGGCCGCGCCCAGAGAAGGAATAAAACGCGCACGAAACAGACGGTACCGCGTCTTGTTGTGCGTGCGTAGCGAACGTGCGCACGCCGGCGTACGCGTACCTGTGCGGAGAGAGGACGAAAATGAACGCCCGCCGCAAAACGGACGACGCGGATTTCGCGCGACCCGGGCCGCTCGTATATGCGGCGAAACGCGCGCCAAATGAAGTCGATAAATTATGTCGTATAGTGTTCGGCTCGCGAACCGCGAACGTTTCGACGCATTATATTGTATTATGCGCGAGCGGAATTTTTCTCTTTCTCTCTCTCTCTTCCGATACGCGTGTAATACCGAAAGTCTCTGTTAGGCGATTTTCGAAAAACGCCACCGGCAACTCCACCGCTACTGCACCGCCGCCGCCGCCGCCGCCGAGACGTCGTCGAACCGATTTCGCGACGTCTCTGTTTTATTAATAAAAAAAATAATAATAATAAAACTAGGTATGGTAAAATGCCGCGGACCAATAGAAAAAAAAAAAACCGGCAGTGCCGTTCGTTCGTTCGCGTGACAAACGCGATAAGTGTGCCGACGTCCGAAAGACGGGAAATAAAATACCCATTATTTTAAAATATTGATAAAATCGATTGCAGTATAATATATGTATATATATATATAGGTGTTTATAGCGTGTAGCAGCAAACCATCGAAAAATTGTCGTTGTCCGTTGACTCGTCGATCGATATCGCGGCCATTTCTTACCGATTGCTACACGTTTCGTTTATATTTATACACAGGGACCGGATTTATAATGTATATGCACTTAAAATCCGAAAAACAACACTTAATGAATATCAAAAAAAAAAAAATGAACGAGTGGTTTAAAAGTCTCCCGACGGTTCTAACGTATAAAATAAAAACACTACGAATAACACGCAAATTATTTTCCTTTTATAATGCGTACTGTTGTATTTAAAATAAATAATTTTTTTTTTGTGTGTACGTAATCAGTTAGAGCCGTTAGACGAGAGAGACTTCTCAACAATTTTCGATTTTGAGACAAAACAAAATAATCAGGACCCGCTCGCTCACTAAACATGGACATTTTATGTGTCCTGTAAATAATTTGTTTTACAACGAAAATCTTCTTTAGCTGAATCGACTGCATAATATATACTATAATAATGCCCGTGTGTATGTACGTTAATAATACAATACACGAAAACTAACGGCATCCCCGGTCTCTGAACTGGTTAATCGTTTTCAACATTCATCAAATTTGCCGGTCACCCATCCACCGGCCCATTTTAGCCATGAGGCGATTGTCTCAAATAAACCTACTTTGACACGCCACTGCCGTGACGTATACCGTGCATCGTTTCCCGGCCGTCCGCAATATCTTTCGAAATAATAGTAACAACAACGGCAGAGAGGCGTAAAAATAAAATAAACGTGTATGAGAGGTGCTTATTTTCTAAGAGACGGCGTTGATGGTTCCGGCGACGGCGTATAAAACGCATATTGTTATCATTTCCACGACAAAGCGCCGTCGTCGGTCGTCCTGATGTAAATCGCCCCGCAATTTATCACGTAATGTTTTTTCATATCTTTTATTTTATTTCGTTTTTATTATTGTTGTTGTTATTAATATTTTTTTTTTTTCTTGTGGATAATCGTCGTCGTAATAACGACGTAACATAACTGTATGCATATTATTTATACTCCCGACGGAACCACTCTCCGGCATAGCCCGCAGCGATTGTACCGACGATGACGGGCGCGGGAGGCCGCCGGAAGGAGACCTTTATATACAGACGCGTATATAGGCGTTTCTCCGGGCCGGGGAAAAAAAACGGTCCGGAAACGTTTTAAGTCGCTTCTAAAACGCAAAAATGGCGTGTTAAATATAATATAGTCCTGGCGGTGAAAACCGTTAAAACACGAACGGACACGGTCGCGGTATAAAAGTTGCGTTTGATTGACGCGATGCACGGATAGAACGGAAACGGAGCGAACAAAAACGTCTTGAACGCCGCCGCTGTCGGTATGTTATTAAGCGCCATCGGCCCTGCGGCGCGGCCGCGCAACGAGATTTAACTAATTTCACGTGTATAGGAATCTCCGTTCGCCCGGTTTACCGCACAACAGCCGCGAGTTTGATGAAACTTTTTTAATTGCGTTTCTCCCGATCGTTTTTTAACCCGAGCGACGCGTGCGCGGCGTGTACTTCAGTGCATTGTACTCGAGCGTTACAGGCGTATTCGATAACGTTTTACTACTTATACCACATACATATATATATACATATGTAGAATAATGTGGCCGCAGTAGAAGAAAAGACAAACCGTCAGAACACACCGGGAGGACGGCCATCAAATAACATCGTGTATTTTATCGAAAAAATCACTTCCGATGCCGCAACCAACAAACCACGAACCACGAAACGGGCATTGCTGCGAGTAGAAATACAGATGCGAACAAAGAGAATACGGGATACTACAAAACCTGCGGCCTTAGGGTGGTTGAATACCGGACGAGAGACTGTTCGAAAATCGCACGGCAATACCATCGTCCGCCATTTTACCGTGGACTATAATAACAAGTCTGGCCGACCGTCAGTCGAGCCGACTATCGCGATGCGCGATGCTCGACGAGCGTCGGACCACGGAAAAAAATATCGGACATATCACGACACCGTACGCACAATTGTCATTTCTTCGGTCGAGTGATCCGAATCGTATTTATTATTATTTTTTTTTTTTTTCGGAGAGAGATCCGTTCGTGTTAGGTGCACGTCTTAATTGGAAAACTCGCAGTATCAATTTTGGTGTCCGCGACATTAACGACCCCGTACGAGTCGTATGGTAATAATTAAATTAAAATCTCGGGACTGAATTTCTATTCGACTGTCGTTCGCCGTAATATTATGCGTTTAGCGTTTACATAAAAAGACGATTCGAGAAAAACATTATACAATAAAAAAACTGCATAGTTGCCGGCCGTGCCATTACGGCGGTTTTAAGATAAATATACGTGGATTTATGGCCGTTATTTCCGAAACGTTTTTCAAAAGCGTCAACGATTTTCGGCGTAACTGTGTGTAATATAAAACCAAAAGGTTGGAAATCAATTCGGCATGCCAATAACGGAGACCGGATATTATACAGTGTGGCGCCACGCACTTATACATATTCATCACTGGACCACTGTTACCGCGGTATAGCCGTATAGGCAGACATCCTTTCTCCCTTTTAACTTCTTTTTGCAATACTTTCCGATTCGGTTTACCAACTTTGTCCCTTTTCCCGCGGCCCGTTCATTTTGTTCTAAAACTATTCGGTATACGTTCGCTCTAGTCCCCATCGCAGTTTCCTCTCTTCGATTTTTTTTCCTGTCTCCTTTACTCTCTCTCTCTCTCTCTCTCTCTCTCTTTCTCTCTATAATATATAAAATATATATTCACCATAAAAGTTTTTATTAGAACATTTGGTCCGGTCCATCGGAAGTGCCTTACCTTTGTAAGACTTTTTTTTTTTAGTTAATTTATGTATACTTTGTACATTATTTTGTATATAATATCCTATATGATGTGCTCTTTACATTCGAACATAAAACATAACTGCCTGTACAAAAAATTAGTCTGAAAAATAATACAAACGAAACAAATTATCTTACGATTACGCATTAAAACAATAATATTTTTATGTGATTTAAAAGAAAAAAACTACTCATATTTTCATTCTGTAAGAGCTCTCGTTTTTAATTTACATAAGATACGTCGCTATAAAGTGGCATTATTAAAAAGTAATTTACATTGTACCTTTATTATGCGACATAATAAGTACATTCAAATATTATTATACAGATAAATGTTGTTACTTCAATCCGCGAGGGTCCTTAAAATGTCCGTAGTTAGTTTTAGTCGGTATGGGTACCTGCACCGTCCGTATTATTATAATTTCGAACAATAATGTAACTTCTTGAATGGAACATTGTTATAATAATTATTTTGATTCAGTCCGAATTTCGTGAACGAAAAGTGCAATAATTTTAACTTTTAAGTAGCTACCCGTGTCGTTGGTTAAACTCGGTTTTTTTCTCAAAATGTAACGTTTCTTTGTAAGCGGTGGGAATAATTATGGGAAATTTCTCTCCGTCGTCAGATCAAACCGAATTTTCGAACGCGTAAGTTACGGGTCCGTGATACATATAATATTCATTATTCGGTAAACGCGAAATCGACGGGACAAATTATTATTAATGTTCGCGAAGAAATAGCGAAACTTCTCCCAGTCTCTCGTTAAACAGTTTTAAATATTCGATTCAGATCCTATATAACAATAATAATAACAAAATTGTGTTATCGAAATGGAATACGTGTAAGCGTGCGTACACAGGAAAGCCTTTCCTCTTCTCCAGTGAGAATTCACGCAAAATTATTTTCAAAATAAAAAATATATATATTCCATATGAATTTGTTTTAAAACATTAAACCCCTACGTCCCCTCAATTTCACGTATTACCGCGAATAGGAGTGGCTTTGAGGGGAGAGATTTCAGCTCCCGGTAACTCAGCCAAGACCCTCCCCCCAAATCAAGTCCTCATCTTCAAAAAATAACTAATTATGTTTAATCAATTACTTTAGCCCTTCTTCCCCCCAAAAAAATATTTTTTACTATTTGAGCCTACGATTTTGTGTAGAGTTATGTTTTAATTTCAAAGATCGCTTGACTGTATTAGTCACTTTTAAATATAGACACTTCAATTTTTCAGTTATATTTTAATGCGATTGTTATTGTGCGTTTCAGACATAATTTCACTTCTGTTTACTATATGTAAGAGTTCAACACTATTTGTTTAACTTAACCTGAACTTTTTACTTCGTAAACAAAAAACAAAAATGTAACGTTTTGAAATCGAAACCGTGTTTATTTCAGATAGAAAAAAAGCGACTTTACTCGTTTTTTATTCGTGCTCTTCATTTACGGACGATATAATATTACGTCTGATGAGTGTCGATCATTTGATTTGGTTTGGATTTTAGTGGCAACATACGTATACGCATATAGATTCAGATTCCTAAAAATGTCAGACTCGTCCGAAATAGATGCCAACGAAAAAGCGAACAGTATATACGATTATACCTAATACGGTATATTATTAATAATATTATTAAATTATTCATAACGGTCCCGTCAACCCGTGACAATTCGACGATGTGTTAAAGTGTTTTGATTCTCGTGTAAAACGTATGTATGGGTGGGTAGCCGTGGCGTTCTTATAACGCGAGCGTATATAAATATTATTAAACCATACCTAGATAAAAAATGTCGGTGTATTAGAAGTGGTTCTGGTTTTTTTTTTTTTAACAAGTCTCGTTCACCTCGCCGCAGGCTACCGGCGTCGTAGTGTTATGTTATTATTTTACGCGTATCTTAAAACGTGAAAACTATCGCGTTTTTGAGATGTTCGAGAGATATACCCTATGGATATAAATAATAGATGCCTAGTTTTAATTTAGGTTAGCCGTTGTAATTTTTTTCAGTATGTGTTCCGTAAGTTCACGGATGTGTCTGTCGAACGGGAAAATTATAATATCATCACCGTCCGTAGCATTTGTTATGCTTTTATGTACAAGTTTATTTGGAAAAAAAAAATAGTTAAGCTCGTCGTGTACTACAACTAAATTACTAAATAAAAAAAAAAAACCGAAATAATTATTTTTCCTACAAAATGCAGACGAGAAACCGAAAAATACGTGTATTTGTTCGGAATTGAAATCGGACAAGCGGTAGCGAGTGATCGGCTTATCGGTCTTAAACGTCGTATTCGTTTGTGGGAACGGCCGTACCACTTCCCCTCAAATGTAGGTATCGGACAGTAGATCAGTGAAAAAACGCTGTCATTGAGGTGGCCGTTAAAATGTAAATAATAATTTTCAAACGTTAAAAAAACTTGAAATATTCTTCCGGGCTCCGGGACACCGAAAACTGACATCTCTATACAGAATACTTGCATCGAACAATAAGACTCCGCAAGTGGTAAACTCCGTGTGGGCTAAAATAATAATCGTTTTCTCATTGCGAGTTCAATAATATCGCGAACACCTATATCGAATTTCAGGCGGCGGTTAGTTTTGCGGCGATAATAACGGGTTTCGGAAAACGATACCGCAAATTATAATTTATTTGTACACCTAGTTTTAAACGGATACCCGAACAAGAAAACCGCCGTTGCCGCCGCCGGAGGTCTGATCATAATATTATATTATACATACACGAAATACCGTGTGTAATTGTTATTTTCCGCAGAGACCGCTACACGGTAAACGGCACCGAAACGTCACCTGTCACCCAAGATAAATTATTATTATTATTCCATTTTACGCAGCAGCACCACGACTACTGTGCCGCTACGACGCCGTTTATTATCGCAATTCGTCTTGTTCACGTCAAATCCCGTTGAAATCCAAAACGATTTCCTTGGGAAATTTAAAATAAAAAATATATATATATTCTTTTTATTTTTCTTTTGGCCTATAAACTATACGTTGCGTGTCATATTATATAATATAATGATACTATCGTATTTTTACGCATG